TTCACTCCTACTGAGCTGGGGTGGGGGTGATGCGTGGTGCACACAACATTTGAGGGACCGTGGTATGCTTTCCCTTCTCCGTTGGGTGCGTTTTGAAGTGTTCTTCTTGGAAGTTGGTCGATTCTTTGTTGGGTTGAGTTCTCTCCGTTATTATCTTCTGCTTGTGTGTATTTGGAGATTGGGATTGAGATTACATTTATTCTGGGAGTTTAGCTGAAGCGTACCCTGTTCTGGTATGTTGGGCTGTCTGGTTGACCGGTAGGTATTTGTAGTTTTGTCCGAATGGCTGAGACTATAGATCCCTCTTTGCCTGTCCCACCTCCTGTTATAGAGGCTCAGTCACTCTCTGTCAAGGAGAAACATCAGGTGAATCATGGCTCTGTTGCGAACACAAATGCAGCTTTACCCCAAGGAAGATCCTCTGCTGTATTGGTTGAAACTGAACGCCCCTTGGGTCCTAGAACTATCCTAAAGGGCAATCCTAGCCGGAGTAGGAGTAGAGGGCGTCCTAAGGACAGGAGCCGCTCCCGTGGAAAAATACAAGCTGCTGGTGGTGCTGTACGCTCAGTTTCCAGGGCAAACTCAGTGAGGAAATCAGCTGTGGTGGGACAGTCCTCTTCCCGGCCTCAAGGCCAGACAAACCAAGCCCGAACTTGGGCAAATGTCGCTCGGGTGCAGACTAAAGGATATAACTTAGACTTTGTACCCCCTATTGAGGAGAATGGTGAAATGATAGTGGACATAACTCCAGACATTGCTGCTGAACAGAATCCGTTATGGCAGGAATGTGTTGTGGGACATTATGTTGGGAGGAAAGTTCCTTTCAAACTAACGGAAGAAGCTCTTAAAAAGTCCTGGGGAGACCATGTAGTAGATGTTAAACTACATGAAAACGGGTTTTACTTCTTACGTGTTCCGAACGAGGACTATATCGCGGGAAGATACTTGACCTTGGTCCAGCTTTCTATTTTCGATAGCACAATGATACTTCAAGCAATGGCACCCTAAACGAAGCTTAAAAGGGTGCTATGGACACTATCCCGGTCTGGGTTAGGTTGCGAGAGATTCCATTCTGCTTGTGGTCACCGGCAGGCATAGGGAGGATTGCAAGCGCCATCGGCAAGCCACTCTATGTAGACGCCCAAACCGAGCAAATGACTCGAATTTCTTACGCGAGAGTATGTGTGGAAATCAAAGCCACAAAACCCCGACTGGAAAATGTAAAGGTACGTTGGGATGGCGAAGTCAATCTGGTCCACGTGGAATATGAATGGAAACCTATGGTGTGCACCTCTTGTGGTATCTTTGGCCATAAACCTGGTTCAGCTGGTTTTGAGTGCGCCCCTGCACATTCTGAAGTCAGAACCGAGACAACACTCCAGCCTCAAGCTAAGACCAGACCTGTGACCTCCCTTCGTCCTCGAGAAGCTGAAGTGTGGACACAAGTCAACCGGAAAAAAGGCAAAGGCCCGATGAACCAAGCTGCAGCTCAGATCAGACCTGCATCTGGCGGTACAGTGGAGGCGAATCCAGGGGAGGAGACCCTTCTGCTTTCTGTTCGTGCCCCTCCCCCTTCTCCTGGTCTGTTCGTGAACTCTTCAAAGACAGCAAATGCTGTTCTGACCCAGAACCTCTTCTGACCTTCCTATGGACGTGAACCCAAGAGGGGGGGCTCCTCTGCCTTCAGCTCATGACCCTTCCAAGACTCATGACCTGATAAGGCATGTTCAGATATGTCCAGAAGTCTCAAATGCTGGGCTGTCCAGTTCTGCAACCGACCTTCCCCTGAACATAAACTCAAGGGGTAAGGTTCTTTTGCCTCCTGTTTTGAACCCCACACAGGAACATGAGCGCCTAAGGCCTGATCTGAATTCCTCGAAGGGCCTGACCGCTGAGTTGGTCCCCTCTGCTGCACCTGATCCTAAAGAACACATTGACCATCATCTAGAGGACCTTCTCATCAACTCGCAGTCTTCCTCTGAAGATTCCTCTGGATCACATGTCGGGGAGGAGAATAGTGACTCTGAACAGCAAGTGGTGGAGGAACCTTCTGTTTTATCCCCACCAAACACCCGTTCTCGAGCCTTGGCTTCTTATACCGTGGAGGATCCCTCCAAAGCCTCCCTGGGGCCTATCCCAAACATGAGTTGCTTTGATACGACTCCTGGCCCGTCCTCCTCGAAGAAGAAAGATAAGAGGAGGAGGGCTAGGAAATCTCGAAGGTAACCTCCTCTCCCCCCCATGTTTTTTGGAATTTGGAATATTAGGGGACTAGTAGATCCCCTCCGTCAAGCTGAGATCCGGACCTTTATAAGGAATAATAGCCTCTCTTGCATTGGTATCATTGAGACCAAAGTCAAAGCCCCTCTTTTTGCTGATATTACTAGGGGTATATGCAATAGCTGGAGATGGGTTTCCAATTATGATTTCTCTCCCCTAGGCCGTATTTGGTTCGGTTGGGACCCGAATATGCTGGAGATGAACTTGTTATACACTTCTAGTCAACTGATCCACATGCAGCTCAGGCTTCTAAACTTGAATTCATTCTGTCTACTTTCTATTGTATACGGGGAACATACTTTTGTTCATCGACGTCCGTTGTGGGCTGATCTCATACAACTCTCTTCTTGCGACTTACCCTGGCTTGTTGCTGGGGATTTTAATGCTATCAAGGACCCGCAGGATAGACTGGGTAGTACAATCCCGTGGATTCCAGTCTTTGAAGAGTTTGGGGACTGTATCAACCAAGCTGGACTTGAGGACCTTAGATATGTGGGATTCAGATACACATGGTCTCACTCTTCCGGCACTAACAGGAAACTCCGAAAGATTGATCGGGTTCTCATCAACAACCATTGGACCCAGCATTTCTCCTTCTCGGAAGCTTCCTTCCTCGCGCCTGGTATATCGGATCATTCCCCAATGGTGGTAAAAATCTTGACGCCACAAAGTTCTAGAAAACCATTCAAGTTTTTCAACTTCTGGGCTACGCATCCCCGCTTTCTGGAACTAGTAGCCCAAGCCTGGGACTCTCCAGTTGTGGGCACCCCTATGTACACTATTTGTTGCAAACTTAGAGTCCTCAAACAGAAGCTGAAGCAACTTAACAGGAGTTCTTTCTCTGATATTTCTGCAAGAACGGATCAAGTTAGATCTGATCTTTATTCTGTCCAAGCTGCTCTTGAGCTCCAGCCTTCTGACCTGACTCTTCTGGAAAGACAAGTGGAACTCACACGCGCTTTTTCTACTCTAAGATTGCAGGAGGAATCCTTTTATAGACAGAAATCCCGCATCCGATGGCTGAAGGAAGGAGATCTAAACACGAATTTTTTTCATCATTTTGTTAACACAAGACGTGTTCAGAATCGGATTCTCTCGGTTTCTGCAGAGGATGGGTCTCTAGTTTCTGATCCTCCGGAGGTTAGGTCTCATATTGTCAATCACTTTCAAGAGATTCTTAATGGTCCTTCTGCTTCTACTCGGCCCTCTGTCAATGAGATTAATGTCTTCCTGGGTCGAGTTCTTGATGAGAATCAGAGGAACATGCTGGCGCAACCGGTCTCAGATGATGAAATCCGGTCCACTCTTTTTTCACTTGCAAAAGGCAAAGCCCCGGGACCGGATGGCTACAATGTGGATTTCTTCAAATCTAGCTGGGAAATCGTTGGGCCCTCCACTCTTGCGGCGGTAAGGGACTTCTTTGAGTCAGGATGCATACTTAAAGAGATCAATAATACCATTCTTACTCTAGTGCCGAAATCCCCAAACGCTTCAGCTATGTCGGATTTCCGTCCTATTGCTTGCTTGCAATACTCTATATAAGTGCATCTCCAAAATCTTGGCTAGGCGGGTAGCGAGTGTCCTTCCAACCCTAATTGGGCTGCCCAAACGGCGTTTGTTAAAGGCCGTAGAATCAGCGACAACATCTTGATAGCTCAGGAGTTATTTGCGGATTTCCACCACCAATCCTACCTTGCCAAGTGTGCTATCAAAGTGGATTTCCAAAAAGCTTTTGACACGGTGGACTGGAGCTTCCTAGAAAAGACCTTATTGGCCTTTAACTTCCCCTTTCTTTGTTAAGTTGGTGATGGCTTGTGTTTCCACATACAAAGTTCTCGGTCTCCATTAATGGAGAACTACATGGCTATTTTGGGAGCTCTAGGGGCATTCGCCAAGGAGACCCGTTATCGCCGTACTGTTCATCCTGGTTATGGAGGTCTTCTCGGGCATTCTAAAGGCTAAAGCGATACGCCGATTTTCCACTTTGGTTTTAGCGATGCAAAAGATCCGACTTTCGCATCTTTTCTTTGCCGATGATGTACTCTTATTCTCTGAAGGCCACTTGAGATCAGTTCAAATAATAAAGGAATCTCTCCTCTTGTTTTCTGAATGGTCTGGATTAAACCCGAATAATGCTAAAAGTAATATCTTTCTCTCGGGAGGGACCCAATCGCTGCATGACCAATTAATCCAATGCTTAGGGTTCCAGCAGGGTGTACTACCATTTCGGTATCTAGGTGTGCCCATCATCACAACTAGATTGCGTAAGGAGGACTGTAAAGCGTTGATTGATTCTATTACGCTCGTGCTCGTTCTGGTCTCAACGCTTTCTTTCCTTTCTTGGTCGCCTCTGACTTATCAAGTCGGTATTGCATTCCATCCAAGTATACTGGGCTACTATCTTTTCTTTACCCAAAAAGGTCTTATATAGTATTGAGGCTATTTTGCGACAGTTCTTATGGAAAGGTCCTGACCTTGGAGCTGGTGGAGCTAAGGTAGCGTGGAATGCTGTTTGCCTACCCAAAGATGAAGGTGGCCTAGGCATCCGCCGACTTGTGGATTACAACAATGCGATGACTTTAAAACACATTTGGATTCTCTTTACTGACAAAGAATCCTTGTGGTGTAAATGGATTCACTCCACCTTTTTAAAGCAGAAAAACTTTTGGCTTGCACCCAAACCTACTTTCTGTTCATGGACATGGAAGAAAATCCTCGATATGCGTGCTGTGGCTCAATCTATGTTCCGATGGAAGATTGGAAATGGGCGCTCCGTATCCTTCTGGTTTGACTGTTGGCACAGTAGGGGCCCGCTATATTTGCTTTTTAGTAACGCGGAGATTTATCAATCGCGCATTCCTCGGGAGGCTACAGTCCGATCCTTCTACGAAGGTTCTTGGCAACCTTCTAACACCCTTGCCACTATTATGGGTTGGTCAGATCCCCTTCCGCCTACTGTGGATAACTCGATGGACAACTTTGTCTGGACACCTCATCCAGCTGAATCCTTCTCTGTTTCTCTTGCTTGGAACCATATCCGCAGGAAATGGCATCCAACCCCCTGGCATTCCTTCGTTTGGGATCGGCACATAGCTCCTCGTCATGCCTTTCTCCTATGGCTGATAACCCTTAACCGGCTACCTACCCAGGTATTCCTGTTACAAAATCGCAGGATTGACGATGCTCTCTGCGCCTTTTGTGGGACTACACCAGACTCAATCAACCATCTTTTCTTTGGTTGCGCTTCTACCTGTAGATTGGCTTCTCTTTGGGCGACAAATTGCAGACTACCTTGGCGCAACCGCCCCTGGCAAGAACATATTCTCTGGGCTATGAAAGTTTGCGGAGGATCTTCTTTTGCCCACCGCATCACCAGATTTTCCTTTGGTGCTCTATGCCACATTATCTGGATCGAAAGGAACAACGCTATCTTCAGGAACAAGAGTGTCTTCATCCCTGGGATGCGAAAGCACCTTTTCAAGGCAGTGAAGGATAAAGCTATTTCCATGGGGACAGTTGAGGACACTTATAGGAACCGCATTGTACAAAGAAAGTGGGACCTTCCTCCTTCTATCTTCGATTAATGCTGGTTATGGCTGTTCTGGTGTCTCTTCGAGCGGATTCCGGAGTTTTGGGCTTCTCACCGACATGTTTTGGTTTGGTTCGGCCCTAGTGGTTTCCTGCTGGCTTTTGTGCTGCTCTTGGCTGGTTCCGCAGTGTGTTGGTGCTGTTTTGTTTGGTGTCTTGGGCATTATGTTGTAATTTCCCTTGTTTCCATTTAGCCGACCTTGGCTCTTGTATAGTTACTGCTGAACCTCTCCTGACCGTGTGTGGACATCTCTATGTCCTAATAGGGTCAGGTACTGGTTTGGGCTATAGTTTGTATTTGGTGTCTTGAAAAGTTATATATATACTTGCCTTACCAAAAAAAAAAAAAAAACAACTGCGAAAGCATCAGGCGTATCTTCCTAAATGTGCTATTAAAGTGGATTTTCAAAAAGCATACGATACTGTTGATTGGAACTTCATTGAAAAGGTATTGTTGGCTTTCAACTTTCCGACATCCTTTGTCAAGCTGGTTATGGCATGTGTGTCTACTGCCAAATTCTCCATGTCCATCAATGGGGAATTACATGGATACTTCGGTAGCTCCTGTGGCATCCGTCAAGGAGACCCTTTATCGCCATATCTTTTTATACTGGTTATGGAAGTGTTTTCAGGTATTCTAAAGGCTAAAACAGGAAATCCTGAATTCCACTGGTTTTGGCGATGTAAGTATACCCGGCTTTCGCATCTCTTTTTTGCGGACGATGTACTTCTGTTTTCCGAAGCACACTTGAGATCAGTTGAGCTAATCAAGGAAGCTCTCTCTACGTTCACTGAGTGGTCTGGGTTAAAACCAAACGCCACAAAAAGCAATATCTTTCTCTCAGGAGGGACCTCAGATGTGCATAATCAGTTAATCCAATGCATCGGTTTTCAGCGTGGTACTCTCCCATTTCGGTACTTAGGTGTGCCTATTATATCCTCTAGACTGCGCAAAGAGGATTGTAAAGTTTTGATCGATGCCATCACTGCTCGTGCCCGCTCCTGGACCCATCGGTTCTTGTCATTTGCTGGTAGGCTGCAGCTCATCAAGTCGGTCTTGCATTCCATTCAGGTTTATTGGGCCACTACGTTTGCTCTTCCAAAAGCGGTTCTATACAGAATTGAAGCTATTTTGCGCCAGTTCCTATGGAAAGGTCCTGACCTTGGCGTAGGTGGAGCAAGGGTAACATGGGATTCGGTTTGCTTACCCAAGGCCGAAGGTGGACTAGGTATTCGGCGTCTTGTTGAGTACAACCAAGCAATGATTCTTAAGCACATTTGGCTTCTATTCTCGGATAAAGAATCATTATGGTGTAAGTGGATACACTCTATTTTTCTAAAAAACACCAATTTCTGGCTAGCCTCCAAACCTACCTTTTGCTCCTGGACTTGGAAGAAAATCCTCGACATGCGGGACTCCGCTCAATCTATGTTCCGGTGGAAGATTGGTAATGGGCTTTCTGTTTCCTTCTGGTTTGATCCATGGCACAACAGAGGGCCTCTTTACCTTCTGTTTAGCGATGTGGATATCTATCAAGCGCGCATTCCAAGGGACTCTTCGGTTAGGCAATTTTATGAAGGCTCCTGGCAACCTTCGAGTACTCTCAGCACCTTTTTGAGCTGGACGGATCCTCCCCCAATATGTTCGGATATCCTGCAGGATTCCTTTTGCTGGACCCCTCATCCATCAAAAACCTTCTCAGTTGCCCTTGCCTGGAACCATATTCGAAGGAAAGGTCGGCCGGTTCCTTGGCATTCGTTTATTTGGGACCAGGCTATTGCTCCTCGTCATTCTTTTCTGTTATGGCTTGCTTCCCTTAACCGGCTACCTACCCAGGTGTTCCTCATTCATAATCACAGAATTGCCAATGCTCTTTGCGCCTTTTGTGGATCCACACCAGATTCTATCAACCACCTGTTCTTTGAATGCTCATCTACTAGTAGGTTGGCTTCTTTGTGGGCGACAAAATGCAGCTTACCTTGGCGTAACCGTCCCTGGCAAGACCATATTATGTGGGCGATGAAAGTTTGTGGAGGAGCCTCTTTTGCTCACCGTATTGCTAGATTTTCCTTTGGTGCTTTATGTCATATTATATGGACAAAAAGGAACAATGCAATATTCAGGCAACAGAATATTTTCATCCCAGGCATGCGCAAGCATCTTCTCAAAGTCGTGAAGGACAAAGCCGTGTCCATGGGAGGAGTTGAGGACAATTATAGGAATCGTGTTTTACAAAGAAAGTGGGATCTCCCTCCTACAATCTTTATAGAGAACAGGAGTGTCGATTAAGTCTTTTTCTTTGGCTTTTTGTGGTGGTTCGGGCCTCCCGTCTCTATTTTCGGGTTGTCCGGTTGTATTGTTGCTGGTTTTCTTTCCTTCTAGCCGTCCCTGGCGTCTTGTATAGTCCCTGCCGAACCTCTCTTGACCTTGTGTGGACAGTTCCATGTCCTAATAGGGTCAGGTACTGGTTTGGGCTTTAGGATGTATTTGGTGTTCTGAAAAGTTATATTCATACTTACCTTACCAAAAAAAAAAACAACTGCGAAAGCATAACTTTTCATTCTCACCAATTCGCGGGTACTGTTCATCGGGCAGAATGCTCCCAAGGGTGATTCTCGCGGTTACTGTTCATCCGCCGGGATTTTGTTGATTCCGGCTGAACCCGGCGTCCGTTTGACCTGCAATTTGGTGGCTTGGCTCCTTATACTCTCCTCGTCCACCCCTCCAAAGGATTTCTCTCCCTGGTCAACACAGAAGCTGGAATTCCAGATCTGGTTCGGTGCCACTGTCGGTCTTCTACGAATGACCGTCTCGATTGAATGGTGCTGGCCGACTGGAATGTCCTTGTGAAGGCTGCTCTCTCTGTAGGTATTCTCCCTCCGTCTCTCTCCTATTGACCTGGGACTGGGGTGTTGTGTGGTTCACACTTCTTTCTGAGGGAACGTCTGGTATTCCTGTCCCTGATCTGGTATATACGTTGTTCTGAAATGTGTTGCTGGAGGATTGATTGGCTGCTGTTGAGCTGAGCTCATTACGTTGTTCTCTTCCTGCTGTGGTTTATTGAAGACTGGGATTGTGATACTTTTATTCTGGGAGGCTAGCTGATGTATATCGTGGTCTGGCCTGGGGGGCTGTTTAGTTGACTGGTAGGTATTTGTAGTATTGTTCAAATGGCTGAGACTATAGATTCCTCACTGCCTGTCCCAACCCCTGTCCTAGAGACCCAACCAATTCCCGTCACGAAGATCCACCAGCAGGTGCATGGCTCCTTTGCAAAAAATGCAGTAGTACCCCAAGGAAAATCCTCTGCTGTGCTGGTTGATTCTGCTCGCCCCTTGGGTCCTAGAACTATCCTGAAGGGCAATTCCAGCCGGAGTCGGAGTAGAGGACGCCTGTTGGACAGGAGCCGCTCTCGTAGGAAAACTCATATTGCTGGTGGTGCTGAGCGTTCTGTATCAAGGGCAAACACAGAAAGGAAGTCAGCTGTATTGGGTCAGACCCCCTCTCGGCCCCAAAGCCAGACAAACCAAGCCCCCCCTCCTAGAACTTGGGCAAATGTAGCTCGGGTGCAGACTAAAGGTTATAACCTGGACTTTGTTCCCCCCCTAGAGGAAAATGGTGAACTTATAGTGGATATAACTCCAGACATTGCTGCTGAACAGAATCCATTATGGCAGGAATGTGTTGTGGGACATTATGTTGGCAGGAAAGTTCCGTTCAAATTAACGGAAGAAGCTCTTAAAAAATCCTGGGGAGACCATCTAATGGATGTTAAACTACACGAGAACGGGTTCTACTTCTTTCGTATACCGAATGAGGAATATCGCAGGAAGATACTAGACCAAGGCCCAGTTTCAATTTTCAGCAGCACAATGCTACTTCAGCAATGGCATCCAAAACTGAAACTTAAAAAGGGTGCTATGGACTCTATCCCGGTATGGGTCAGGTTGCGTGACATTCCTTTCTCCTTGTGGTCGCCGGCGGGCATAGGCAGGATTGCAAGTGCCATTGGGAAGCCACTCTATGTGGACACCCAAACTGAACAAATGACTAGAATCTCTTTCGCGAGAGTATGTGTGGAAATCAAAGCCACAAAGCCCCGACTGGAATCTGTGAAGGTACGTTGGGATGGCGACGTTAATCTGGTCCATGTGGAGTATGAATGGAAACCTATGGTGTGCATCTCTTGTGGTATATTTGGGCACAAACATGGTGCAGTGGGTTTGGCAGCACTGAAGACATTCGAGGAAAGAGCCGAGACACTCCAACCTCAAGCTAAAACCAGACCTGGGAGCTCCATGCGCCCTCGAGAAGCTCAAGAATGGACCCAAGTTAACCGGAGAAAGGGCAAAGGCCCGATGAGCAAAGATGCCGGCCAGATCAGAACTGCTCCTAATCAGTCCTTGGAGGCGAATCCAGGGGTGGAATCCTATCAGGTTCCTGTTCGAGCCCCCTCCCCTGCTCATGGACCTTCCAACCTGGTTGGGAACATCTCAAAGGAAGCCAACACAGATCTGTCCAGGATTGATTCTGTTCCTCCCCTGGACGTGAACTCAGGGGGGAAGACTGGTCCGCCTACTGATCACGCCCCTGTTCCTGGTGGTGTTCCAATGAGCACTGAGCTGAACCAGCCAAAGGCGGGCCTTGCTGCTGTGTACAGTACTTCACCTAGCCTTCCTCTGGACTCGAACTCAAGGGGGATAGGTCTTTCGGCTCCTTGCTTGCACCTCAACAGCCCGGCTCTGCTCCTACCGGAAGAACCTATTGCAGAGACGTCCCTCCCCGCCTTCTCTGATCCTCAAGGACGGCTACACCAGCAACTTGTGGACTTTGCTACTAACTCTCACACGTCCTCCGAAGACTCTTCAAGCTCTCAAGTGGGGGGGGAAATCAGTGACTCTGAAGAGCATTTCACAGGAGGAATTTCTGCTGTTTCTCCCCCAAACACACGCTCCAGAACATTGGCTTCTTATGCTGTTGAAGAACCATCTAAAG